TATAGAAGTCAGGTTACATGGGTCTAGTAAACGATCACCAATCTAAAGTAAGCGACATTTGAGAAATATCATTATTTGCCATTTATCTCAAATATCAGAGAGAATATTCGAGACTGATTAATTTTTTAAAGGAAGTTGGTTTTTTCCATTTTCATTTTTGAAGCTTAACTCTGTAGAATTTTATATTCATTTTAAACTAAAAACTAAATCTGTTCAAGGGGACTGCATAAGCGTAATTTAAAGCGACCTCTGACCAAGGTACTAATGCAAGCAAAGTTAATTGCGGTCGCGTACACTCTGCGTACATATTGAAACCAGTTCTCTTTGGGCGAAATTTGTAAACAAGAATAGATGCATCAGTGCACTGCAGTACAAAAAATGTGCACACCTTTGAAATAACTTTCCTTGCATTATTACCTTGCCACTGACCCTCCTGGCAATGACCATATCACAACAGTATCCTTGAACTCTTTATCTGATCTGGTAGTTTTCGTCTTTTTTCAATGTTTAATTATGTTTAATTTGATAATCTATTCATGATGTCCTGCAGCAGAAATGCGCAAGTCACTTTTATAAAGAAACTGTAACACTATCAGTTCCTTACATTGAGTCTTGCTGTGTTACTACATATAGAAAATAGGCCTAAATAAGCCAAACATCGAAAGAATTCATCAAATGTCGTATTCTTCACTTTCTGTCGAATATTGCAGATATTTAGTTTTTTGATTAAATGATTATATGGAGCTCTTTAAAACTATTCCCGTATATTCATGGCTATTTATTTATGTTCACAAATACTGAAATTTACGTAAAATAGTATAAAACCCATTGAAAAATTGTCAAGACAACATTTGATAAATTCTTTCGATCGTTCATTTAGGAAAATAGGATTTCATAAACTAAAATATCAGCCAAATCTGTGCAAAATATGTATATAAACTAATTATAAAATAGTCAAACGCTGAAAATGATTGGTTCAAATAGAAAAAGTAAAAAATTTGAAGTTGTATACAAATGTTTGTACAAATTTATAAATGTTTGGGAACAAAACGTTTTAAATTGACATTTGTAAAAAATGATAAGAAGTTCGAAAGACTGATCTAAAAGTCGTCTTCAATATTTTCTTATTTTTTATTCCACCATTTAAACGAGAAAATGATGCATCTATTTTCCCTTCCACATCAAATCATATCGTTTTTAAATGTTTTTTATCTTACTTTTAGTTCTTACCGCAGATAATCTAATTGAATTACAGTGAGAACCATAAGGCAGTAGAAGACGACTTTTAGAGTCAAGTTTTGACTTAAAATATTTCAACGAGCATTTGTGCATTGTAAAAGACCCATTTCACTTATCAAGTTACAATTATATCTCTATTAGCATCCAATACCCTTAAGTTTGGCTTTTTTGCCGTCTTACTTTTCCACGGTTCTCACAATAAATATGGATTGGGTCAACAAGAGAATAATTAAGGTGGTACACTGCACAATGCTTTAAATACTCCAAATGAACAGTGGACATTGTATATTCTCTTCATGTTTCCTTTATTAATGTCTAAAATGTTCTGTCTGAAAATAAGATTGATTTTACAAAATAAAGAATAAAAATATTTGCAAATGTAATGTTTGATAATCAAAGACCAATATTTAACTTCAAATTAAACCGTTTGCAATTTTAGATCGAGGAAAAAAACGATTTCAACATTTTTAAAGAAAATCTTTAAGTTTTTGAAAAATTAATTTTGCATTTAAATGTCTCTCTAAACAATTATAAACATGTCATAAATACAGAGGCCCCATAGGAATCTAGATAGATTACGTTATACATTGTCCATAGAGTTAAATGCACTCATTCGTAAATATGCAAGTCATGTATTGAGATTAACCTAACCTAGATATGCATATTTATAACTCCATCGAACCCATATTGTGATTGATATAGAAACTCCGCATTGATTACTGCGAGAGGGTAATTTGGTTCTCGTTGAAACATACGAGCTCAGATCGTGCACATTAGTTTGGCATCAATACAAGATAATGTCTGGTTGAGATCGTGCCCATTGGTCTGGCAATGATCGATTAAGTGCTTGTGTCATTGATAGCTGATAGAGCTCGTGTTCTGGTTGAAATTGATAGCTAAGCTAGTGTCCCTGCTGACATCAATAGCTAACGAGGTTGTGTCCGGGTCTAGCCATTAATAACTAAGTGAAACTAAATTGTACCTGGATAGATACAGGTTCGAGAAACCCTTATGGAGTAGGGCATTTACTAAAAACAGACAAAAAAAACTTTAGAATGGTTTTACCTGGCCATCTTTTTGTTAACTCATGATATAATTAAAATCATAGCATAAAAAACCCAGCCTTGTTTTACCTAGAATGGTCAGTCTCTCGATTTTCTCATGGTACAGGGTGTCTCACAAAACTTGGTACAGGGTGTCCCACAAAACATGGTACAGGGTGTCCCACAAAACATGGTACAGGGTGTCCCACAAAACATGGTACAGGGTGTCCCACAAAACATGGTACAGGGTGTCTAACAAAACATGGTACAGGGTGTCCCACAAAACATGACAAAGCAAGACGAATTGAATGTTGTCAACCTATTTTCACATGTATATATGATTCGTGAAACAATGACCACAAAATTCTACTAGTCCTGGTATTTTCAAAATGTGGTCTGCAGTTTTCGTGCTGTCAATATTACTGGAGATATTAACAATTTTGTGTTGATTTGAATTTAATTAAACTGTTGAACTATTAAAATCTGAATGAGATTCTTGATATCTCCGGTAATATTGAAACCACAAAAAAGGCAGACCACATTTAGACAATGCCAAGAGTAAGACCTGGGTTATTTTGGAATTCTTTACTCTAAAATTAAGTTTGCGCATAAAATTTCAATAATAAAAGACGACATTAAATTAATGTTGCTACCGTCATGTTGAGTTGGACACCCTGTATATCTTTATAATCAAACAAGACATTTATATATATAGCCGGCCAAATTTTTTAATTTAACATTAAATGAAAATCCACTGGCAACACCAGGACCTTCAGCTAGTCATAGTTAAAATCCTAGCAACTAAGACGAAACCAACTCTTAAAATGTTTCTCCTAGAATGGCCATCTTTCAAGTTTTTAGCCTGATAAAATAACTGGACACTTATTAAATCCCTAATTAGTTGAAATGGGTCTATTTACACAATTGCTGTTTCCCATTCTCAATGAACTATTTAAACTCATAATTTGAGTCTAGAAGTCGTCTTCCTATCTCAGAGTTTTCTGGTTCTCACTGATAACAACTTCCTGATCAAAGTATATAGAAGTCAGGTTACATTTAATATTGTGCATATAACTAGTTTCAAAGATTTCAGAAAATATTGAATAAAACTAACGATTTTATTATACCATTCAACCACTCAAAACAACCAACCCTGGTTAGGCGGGTCCAAACTGCATAGTAAATTGTGATTGCTTATTTGTAATATCTCATGCTTTGTAGTTGAATGAAAGAATATATATATATATATATATATATTCAAATTTTTATTTTTTTTAATTATAAAGACACTTATTTATTATATCTAAAAACTTTAAACTAATCGCACAGATTTTCTCGACTTTTTCTATTTTCTTCATTATCCTCTTCTTGGATAATAGAGAAGCGTTGATCCCGCCACGGCGGGGATTTCTTTCTTAAAGATCCGCCGGCGGTTGAGGAAGGGGCGGTATTCTGACTAGATTTATTTTCCGAGCTTAATAGTAATTCTTTGGCTGATATCCTATGCTGGTTTGGTCCTCCAGCTTGCTGAGAGAGCAGTTTCTTAAACTCCTGCAAGGAAGTTTGTTTGGGAGGTGGCGGCACCTTGCCCTTGTCTCCGGCCCAACTATGCCGCCGGTTTCCTTTTAATTTGTCAGGCGCAGGTCTTTCCGGCTGGGACGGTCTTCTAGGAGGATGGGACCGAGGATCAGGACTTTTGGACTTACTGGAGGACGGAGAGGACTTTCTCGATTCGAAGGACTTGTCTGAATCTGAGTTGGGACTTTGGGAATTCTGTAAATTTACATTTTGGTGGATTTCTTGAGGGGACCCGTTTTGGATCCCGTTTTGATGCTGAGCTAGGGATTGCGGATTGTTGGGATTAGGTTCTGGAGACTGGTTTAGGTTGGTGGGAGGAGGGGAGTCAGGGCTTAGAGAATAATAATCTGAAGATGGACTGAAGAATGCTACAGTAGATTGCTGATCTGTAAAACTATGTCCCCGGCTTCGGGGGTTCAACTTCATAGCCTTGGGGACAGTATTGTTGGGACACCCACAGGTGGGACACGGGTTGTTTATACTATGATAGCACATGGGACATTCGCAGCTTTTTCTCAGTATGTTGGGCTCCAGGTGCAGTAGAGGGGTGGGACAGTTTGACAGGTTGGGTGGGTAGTTTAACTCAGGTCTAGGGTGGGGTAGGGGAGTACCCCCGCTAGAGGGAGGCGGTAAAGGAGTAGATCGGTTACTCCCTGGAGCATAAGGAGGTAGGGGAGTGGATCTCGTACTACTGCGCCCTACAGAGTAACCATATGCTCCCTCATCCCCGCCCTCATATACACTGGGATTAGGACTTCGACCGACAAAACCTAAACAAAACATTTACAATGATAATCCTAACAATAATGCGAGTAATGATAATAATGAAAATGATGATAATACTAATACTAATACTGATAATAACTGATAATGATACTGATACTGATAAAAGGAGTATATAGGGAGAGGGTGGGGAGGGATGAGGGTAGGCTTAGAATACTAATAAACTAAAATCTCAAATCTAGACATGACTGAAATAACAATTAATGAAGAGACGACCATGTTCATGTTCATGTTTCAAAATCCTAATTGAAACTATATTATTGTTTTTTTAAAAGGAATTTCTACTTGGGTTGGACAACATTTCAAGAAAAAAATAAACCCCTGTAAGCACAAATGCGACTATAATTCCAGATGCAATCTACAGAAGGTGGGGAGGTATTTTTTAAAGGGGGTTGGGTTAACAACGATTTAAAGGAAAAAATAAACCCTGCAACATTTATAATTTGTTTAATTGGAGAGTTCGCATAAATTAATGAATTATTGTTGCAGTGAATACCATGGCGTTACATCAAACAGTAATTAGCATAATATTCTAGTTGTTCATCATTATTGTTTTAAGGAACAGTTTAGCATAATATTCTAGTTATTCATCATTATTGTTTTAAGGAACAGTTTAGCATAATATTCTAGTTATTCATCATTATTGTTTAAAGGAACTGTTAGCGTAGTTTCAAGCAATGCCCGATTTACAACGGTACCCTCGAAACCTTAATCTGATAAAAATATAACGTCGTTTTATGACTCAAATTGATTCTAATAATCTCTCCATTGCAAATATTATGATCAAGAAATGCACAAGTCACTTCCGTAGAGAATCTGCAATTGAATATAAACAGTTGAAAGAAACACAAACATTGATATCTAGTTTATACTTGATGAGACAAAGGGTACCGTTGTAAATCGGGCATTGTCATATTTGCATAGAGGGTCACATGAAATTACGCTTACAGTCCCTTTATTGAAATGTATCGGTTATGTTAGAAAATACTATTATTAACTTTATAGTCTGTTGTGTTCAAAAATACATATAAACAAATCCAGAGTGGCTTGACCAAGTTTTGTTTATTGCTAAAGAAATTTTAGAAATTTATTTTGGCAAATACAATATGAAGAAATAGACAAAGTTACATAAATATTGATCTGAATCTAATCATAATAGTTCATCGGAAGTATAATACGTGATGAGCATACTGCCTGAATTAACAATTTGTATCTGCCAATACCCATATAGTTAAGAATATTAAGAGTAATAGATTAACATTATCTATTTCCTAAATAATCGACTTTGATTCTTTACGATGTAAAAGATTTCATAAGGAAACGATCGCTTCGTTAGATTTTCTTTCATTAAACGATCGATGCTACATGGTTACAAACTAAAAGATCAGACTTTTCTTATATTCATGGTTCTTAGCAGGCCAAAACTGGCATATTTGTGTGCTTAATCATTTCTTAAACCAATGAAATACTAAACTGAAGGCATAAACTAAAAGTTAAGCTTAAAATAGTCATATTTAAAATTTTTACAGTCTCGTCCTGTTAGCTTAATACTGTCGGTTAGCTTTAAAAAATCAAAAAACCAAAAAACTCGTTTTTCAATATATTAAAAATGATGCCCTATTGTGGGTGCCTAAGCGGGTATTAAACAATGTAACACAAGTATAATGGTTCGACTAAACTTTCTAATTGAACCTTTACATCCAGCCATTTTACAGTCGTAAACTTCTTTATACTATTCACCCAACCAAAAAACGGAGCAGCTTTAACAGAAGTTGTTTTATTAAACCTCCTAGCATTTGCAACGGTTATCCTTAAAGGCTTTATTTACTCAAGTATAAATTTTTTATTTTTATTTTATTAAACTGTTTTTTTTTCATTTGTGGTTTTCATAAGAACCAATGGAGAAATTCACAGAAAAAAAAAACAGTTTTCAAGTCAGGAAAATCACGATCTTTCATATATTTGGTCATATTAAGATTTAAATGGCACCGCTGTGGATCTCAAAAATTTTTACATCACTCGTTCGTAATTTCTAACAAAATGTCCGGAATTTCAAACAAAATGTTCGTAATCTCTAACAAAATATTCGTAATTTCTAACAAAATGTTCGTAGTTTCAAACACAATCTTCGTAATCTCGAACGAAATGTTCGTAACTTTGAAATTCCGTTGGCATCGCGTTCAGGTAGTTACATAAAACGAATAAATTGTTAGGTTGTCTTGTAACAGACTAAATTAGATTTTAATTGAAAAACATGATTATTTAAAAATTATATTTAAGTGATAAATGTTAACTTCAGATACTTGAAATGTGAGTAAACCAATGAATCTAGACCATATAGGGTAGACATCAGTTACATATATGGAATATATTAGGATATTGTCAAACCTATATACCTACCATTCCTTCTACCTATACCTACCATTCCTTCCTCAAATACCAAACCTAAATATACCCCCTATACCTACCATTCCTTCCTCAAATACCAAACCTAAATATACCCCCTATACCTACCATTCCTTCCTCAAATACCAAACCTAAATATCCCCCCACCCTATACCTACCATTCCTTCCTCAAATACCAAACCTAAATATCCCCCCACCACCAAAACTACCATTCCTTCCTCAAATACCAAACCTAAATATACCCCCTATACCTACCATTCCTTCCTCAAATACCAAATCTCAAACCAACAAAACATTTAGTTTCAATCAACGTGAGTCAACTGAAGGTGAGTGGGAAAGGGTTTGCGCTCAAATTTTACTGCGTCGTAATACGATGGCTAGAAACTGATTTTATCAAACAAAACAATAACGAAGATTGTAAACATAGATCGAAATTTTATTAAAGCAAAATGTACACAAACTCTAACCTTGCTTCCTTACATCTTATAACTTTGGCCCCAATGTTGATCTCAGTGCGACAGACGTAGGTTAATTTACAATACTTTAAACCTCCAATAACAAAAGTAACAAAGCATTATTCAATGTAAACTGTATTATAATCACTGTTAACCAATTACCACCCAAAGAACTTTTAACCTCAAACCCACATCACAAGAGCTGCTTTACACCATATTATATAAACCTTTTAAAAAAAATTATTGAATAAAAAGATATTGGATACAAACAAACAAACAGACAGACACCCACCCAGACAGAGACAAGCTAAGTATATATATATCTAGATAACTAAATATACCTTGTTCTACAGCAGCTAGGGATGCAATACTTGATCTTTTACTCATGTTCTGTGCATACACTCCAGTAGAAGAGGAACCATAGGTTCCATATTGATATCCAAAAGCAGGATGAAGTTGATGCTGAACATGTTGAGGTTGATGTTGAACATGTTGAGGTTGGTGTTGAAGATGATATTGAGGATATTGAATATGTTGAGGTTGATGTTGAAGATGATACTGAGGATGCTGAGGGTGAATGGGTTGAGGATAGTATCTCGGATGTTGATGAGGAGGAAGATGAGCTGGTGGGTTGGAATATATGTATCCAGCAGGACCAGGGGTATATAGATTGGGTAAACCTGAAAACAATATAAAAATTAATTAAAATATCAAAAAAACGCTGACTTTACAGTTCGGCGCTTATTTGAATTCCAATAAAAATTTGATCAAATATAAATAATATTTCTTATTTTTTTGTATACTTTTTTCACCGGCGGATGCTTTTTACAGTGAAAAAATCTAAAAGTATAAGAAGACAACTATGTAAATGGAAGGTTCTAGGTATCAGAAGAACACCTTCCTAAATATAAAATATTCCAGGAGGTATTTTCCCAGTTCTCACAGTAAGTATTAATCTCCAAATTAATTTGATATTTACAAAAATTGGCGGGTAAATTTATTTTCAAATAGGTAAACAAATCCCTTCAGTCCTTATAATTTAACACATTTTTATAATAATAATTTTACCTTCTCTTGCTGTCTGCTCAGCGAATGACCACCGTTGATGTTGGTTTTTCATCGCAGCTGTTCTATATTTAACCTCTTCAGTGACCTCCCGCTGCTCTGACACTCGCGCAGTAGCACAGGAGGAGAGCGGGGTCGAGGTCATTCGAGATCCTACCGAGGGAGACAGGTCATGGGTCGGATCACACCCCGAGGTTCGGTAACTGTCTTCTTTGTTTGAGGATTTTTTTGGACTTTTCCGTCGTAAACTTGAAAAGGTAAATTGAGAACGAATATTTTTGAAAAAATTTCCTTTGGCTTCCTTTTTTTCCTCTTTCTCATTCTGAATATTTATACTTGATAAATCAAGGGTTGTCACGTCACAAGAATTTCTATTTTTTCTCACTTCCACGGGAGAAAGTAAAGGTCGAGCCCGTCTATATGAGTCACTACGGGATAAAGATTTAGAAGATTTCTTCTCCTCAGACTTTGGTGTCATTATATCATTTCCTTCACTTGGCTTGGACAATGATAAATTTCTGATGGTTTCTTGGGATGGATTTGTAGGTTGGGAAGGATGATATGATTTCTCTGGGTTGGCTGCTAAGAGTTGTACACCTGAGACCTGGAGCTGAACTGTAGGAGAAACTGGAGTATTAGAAGCCTCCTTAGATTTGTTTACATCTCCTAAACTCCTATTTAAAACTTCTGAATAAGGAGACGGTGGGGCCTGATATGGGGGGCAGGAGAGAGTCAGGGGCGTGGCGGGATTAGAGAGGGGGGCTCGGGTATCCTCAACAGGGGCGGAGAGGGGTGGGGGCGAATCTTTATCGTCAGTAGCGATGAGTGTCCAATCCTTATTTTCAGGAGAACTTTCTTTCTCCTCACTCCTACGATAGGAGGTAAATGGCGAAGTTATCCTGAAAAAAAACCAAGAATTATAAACAGTTTTTGAAAACAGTTCTTATATCATAATCGTTGATTGGAAATTTGTAAAAATATAATAAATTAAAATATAAATGTAGAAATTTGTTTTTATTGCATAACGAATCTAAGTGGATACATATACAGCGAGAACCAGAAAGTAACGAAATTGGAAGAGGAAATTTTAGTAATACTAAAGTGTATTTGATGTTGTTAAATTTATCAAATCACTAATTTAGTGAAATGTTTCTGTTTTTTACTGTTCAATTGCTGTGTCTAGCGTATATTGGACTATTTAAAAATCAAAACTTGCGTCTAAGTGTCGTCTTTCAATCTTAGAGTTTTACTGGTTATCATACACTGCAATTCAGATTGTGATTCACCCCTCCCCCTCCCCCCTACCCGTTCTTTGTATTTATTGTAAACAAATTGATTGAATTTATTCCTTCTAATTCATCCTTTACGAGATAATTGTATAATCTGACAATCAATGTTGAAAATATAGAGATATACAATATACAAATATATCAATGACAGATCAATAATTTCATCAAATTGATAATATACAGGGTGTCTCCGTAAACATGGGATAACACTCTTATTCTACACGGTAAGAAATGTTAGGTTGGAAAATGGTTTTAATTCTAATAATCAGATCACACATGACAGATAAAGTTTTTCTATTTGGATATTTTTTTCAAAAAAAGTTCAGCTAATTTTTTTGTAAAACTACAAAAGCCTGAAATATGTAAGATATGCAAAATAAAAATTGAAGCTTGTAATTTTATGTTTTTATACTTGGGTGGGTGGTAGGGGGGGGGGGTCAAAGTGTATTTTAGGTTACATAATCTTACATGTTCTCAACAATGACTCATTTTTCTTAAAAGCTACCGACAGGAAATTTTTTTTAAATGCGATTAAATGGATTTTTTTTTTGGGGGGGGGGAGATGTTTTAAGTTGATTTCAACTTGAAGCGAGAAAGAGGAGTGTTTACTGAATGATGATGAGAGGGGTGGGTACGAAGGGGGGGGGGGTATGTTGGCAACAGTTCAAAGCTAAATTACGAATATTGTTCGGTTCTCATGAATTCTGTATAGCAAATATATCACCCTGTATAAATGAGGTTTACAGGGTGGAATATTCTTGCAAATATTAGGAATAATCATTAAATTCTCTTGAATTTCAGGATTCTTTGTAATTTGTATAAATATATTTAAGAAGGTATAATATCCTTGACAATCTCAGAATCCTAACTTATCAACTCATCATTTAAAACTTGCATCGAAGCTACAAAATGTAAAATCCTAACTATCATATTAACAACACAAAGAGTCTCTTTCAACTGCATAATATTTGTTCACTTTAACCATACTTGATAACGATTAGTAATATTTGTTTTCAGGAGGAAATAAAAACAGAACTCCCCTTTCATTACTTTTCGGTTTCATTTGATCTTTATCTATTCCTACACGTCCTATCTGTTTATCTATCCCTACACGTTCTATCTGTTTATCTATCCCTACATGTCCTATCTGTTTATCTATCCCTGCACGTACTTTTTGTTTATTTGTCCCTAAAAGTCCTATTTATTATAATATATCCCTACGTCCTATCTGTTCATATGTCCCTAAACGTCTTATATGTTTATCTGTTTATATGTTTTGTATAAGAATATACCTCTGTATTTAAATATGCAAGATCTAGTGGAATAAGAACTAGTGAGCTAACGTCCCACTGCTTTTTAAGAAAACAAATGATAAAAAGTGAAGTACTCATTTCAGGGGCATGTGATGGTATGGAGGGGGGGGGGAGGCTGTTTAGGCCAGACCCCTCTCATATAAAATAACTGACCCCCCCCCCTTTCCTTCCACTTTTCAACTTAACCAACTATAGACAAACTAAAAATTACAAGGGTTGTTTTATGTTTACATTTTTCAAGATAAAGATAAAATATTGCCTGCGTTTGCAAATTAGCCCTTCCCTGACCTGACTGGACAAATTTGCAAGATAAAATCTCTTTACAACACTGCAGATTTCAGGCAAAATAATAAGTTTCACACAAAATACAAAAAAAGGTGGAAAAAATGAATTTACACAAAAAATATTTAATATGCACGCTGGGGTTTAGTTTTCTAATACTTGAATTCTAACTTAATCGGAAAAATGTTGATTTTAACTAATCTACTATAAATCTATATCAAGCTTGATAACAAAATTAGTCGAGAAAAAAGTGTTGTGACAAGTTGTCAATCAAACTGATAAAACATTGAAATGTTTGCGAAAAACTATCCATAAAGATTGCGCATAATTTGCAAACTGGTCATTTCGTGCCCAAAATAATAATTTTAGTCAGAATTTTAGCAATTTTTAAAAACGTGTATTTAACAAAAAAAGGAGTTGCTAATTTTCATTTAATTGCAAATTTTTTTTAATGAATACTATCCTTTAGTTCTTATAATTTGAGCCACAGAAAGATGAGACTTCAGAGACGACTTTACCAAACCTATAGTTTCTGTTTCCTTGTATTCAAGATTACCTGCTTCTTTCTTTGCTTAATCAGATTATTAATAAGACGAATTCAAGGCAATTTAAATTATCCTTGAGATCGTCAAATTTCAAGATTTTCAGATCGTCTTCATTGTCTCGTTCTTTGTGGGTAACCCCATGCTTGCAGCCGAATAAAATAATTTTTTTTTTATTTGCACAACAAGTAAAAAAATTTAAACCTTAAGAGCGCGCATTGTTATACAGGGTTACCCATAAAGAATGAGAGTGTAAAGACGACCAAGAACTCTAAAATGTGAGAACCCCAAGGCTAAATTAAATAATCGCCTTTAGATATAGTAATCTAATGGTTTATTTAATAATTTGACAAAGAAAGAAAAAAGTTCACAGTTGTAGGGAGTCGTGAATAAGGAAACAGACAGTATTAATTCCGTACAGTCGTCTCTGAAGTCTCATCCATAGAATGTAACCCTGTGTGTATCCAGACAACTGATACAGTTTAGAACTATATGCTAAAAATGGTTAAATTGCATGGTTGCGTATATAATTTTCGTTGCAAATTACAGATTTCGTAATTTGCACACCAACTCTGCCAGCCCTCCAAATCAGGCAGTTTTTTGTTTGTATTTATCAAACGTAGAAAACTGAAAGTTCAAGATTCAAGGAAGTGAAGAAAATTATTGTTCATGGTTCAATACGCATAGAGGTAATCTTTACAGGGGTAAACAGGGCTCCGGATACAGTCCCTTTAAATTAATATTTATAAACAGTCCCTTTAAATAGAAATTTATAAACAGTCCCTTTAAATAGAAATTTATAAACAGTCCCTTTAAATTGATATTTATAAACAGTCCCTTTAAATAGGTATTTATGAACAGTCTCTTTAAATAGATATTTTCAAACAGTCCCTCTAAACAGGGGCGTATTCAGGAATTTGTCCAGGGGGGGCTTAGATTTTTTTCTTTCCAGAGGGGGCTCAGCACCCGTTGGGGCCCTGAAATTAATAGATTTCATTGATCCAGGGGGGCTTAAATACATAGTTAGCAATATCACTAGTCTACACATCAGGTAGCAAAGATGTAGGGATAAGAAAATTACTTTGTAGCTTGAATGAAAATGATTAAAATTCCAATGTTTCTTGTCATCTTGAGGCCCCCGGGGGGGGGGGGGCGCCCGATTGTATTTTGCCGAGGGGTTGACAGACTTAAAAAATATAGGTTTAAACCATGCCAAGTAATTAATCCCAGCGCACGGAGGGATATATTTATGCCACATTTAATTTTCAGAAAAGACTTTTTGATATCATAGGCGGGCCGGGGGGGGGGGGGGGGAGGAGGGGGTGTTCTAATATTCATTTTGTTTTTTTAATCTATTTAACTAACAAAATAAGTATCGGTCTATCTAATTAACTATCTATCGATATATCTAACTATCTATCGATATATCTATCTACCTATCTATCGGTCTATCTAACTTTCTATCGGTATATCTATCTAACTAACTATCTATCGGTCTATCTAACTATCTATCGGTCTATCTAACTATCTATCGATATATTGATTGTTTAATTATTCGATTAAATATCGTAATCTGAATATCTGAACAACTAGTTGCAACTTTTGATGAACAGATAGTATAGATTAACAATGAGAAGTTTTAATGTAAAAAAACAATAATTAAAAACAGTTCGTATACAGTGAAAACCATAAAACTCTGGAATAGGAAGACGACTATTGGACTCAAGCAATGATTTTGAATAGTTCAATAAACGTAAAACACCGCAATTGTGCAGTTTAAACAGACCCCATTTAATTGATATCACTAGTTACTAGTAAAACAATTTGCTTTGCAAGAACATCAAAAACATGTAAGATTGCTATATTGTCGTCTTCCTTTTACACAGTTTTCTGGTTCTCGCTGTATCAGAAAGATGTCTTGAAACTGTAGAAAGAAGGGTATTGGCATCTCTTTTGGCCATTTTACACTATTATAAAGTTTATCTACCCCAAATAAGATGATATAATTAAACTGTTTCTCATGACTTATGAAGTTTTGGATTTCCTATGTCATTGTAAAATAAATCAAAGTGTTAATAAATAAAGTTTTTGTATCCAATGCAATGTAGAAATGCAATTACCAAATTTAATATACTTACACTTAAAGGGTCTCTACGCATGAATGACAATTATTCAATTTACAACAATACTCTTGAAACCTTTATCTGATCAATATAGTGGAAGATATTGTCGTTCTTCTAAGTTTTAGTGTTTTATTTTGTAGAAAAACCAGAGTTGAAGATAATCTGTTTTCATGTTGATGTTGATATATAATGCATACTTGAGCAGACAACCCTATTAAAGGTACTCTTGTAAATCGGGTATTGTCAACTTTGCATGGAGGGTCACTTAATATTACGCTTTAACGTTTGAAATATGTATCACAGGAGTCTGTATTGGTTTGATTTATACCTGAGTTTAGGCACACTGTTCTCTTGTTGAATGGTTTTCACCGACTGCCTGGATTCAGCCTGCTCAGTCCCCCATACACACCCTACAGTTCCTACAGTACACAATATTACAGAGAGTTTGGATACACACCGTTTACAGTGCATACTGGTTTGGATACACACCGTTTACAGTGCATACTGGTTTGGATACACACCGTTTACAGTGCATACTGGTTTAGATACACACACACCTCATGTTTACAGTACACAACAGAGGTGTTAGGAGGCACACCGAAACATCATTGTTACAGTGCATACTAGATGTGTTTAAGATACGGCGTAGAATTTGTGGACGGTCCTTTTAACAGTGCATATTTGTTATGTTTGGATAAAACGCCTTCGAGTTTTTACAGTGAATATTAGAGGTGTTTGGATGCAAGCCGATAAATTTATGAATTGTGATATTGCACAAAGAAGTTTGGATGTAATTGACTTTATTGTGTATGTAAGGGGAGTTTGGATACACACTAGATATTCATCATTACAGTTAATATAATATATATTTCTGTGCAATTTATCAATTTTTTAATGTTTAATCCTATACAGACATTTTACAATATCAACAGTTTTCAAACAACCTCATTTAGTAAATTTGATAAAACATATCTGAGTTTCCAAATACATATTCACGACAAACGCCGTGTTTCCAAACCCCTCCCACCCCAACCATTGATAAGAAGGTGGATAGAAATCGAAAAATAATCCGGGAAATCAAAATCATGTTTCTTGTTAAATAGACAATTTGTTATGGGTCGTGCTAGCGGAAGGATACCGAGTTAACGTTTCCAAATTTCCTGGAAAATATGAAGGTTTAAAAATATGGATTAGATTAACGATTATACAGGGTTACCCACAAAGGATGAGACTTCAAAGACGACTGTTCGGAATGTTTACTGTTTGTTTCACAATATTCACGATTCCCTGCAACTGAAAACTTGTTTGTTTCTTTGCCAAATCATTTCATAGGCCAGTAGATTATCATTTCTCAGGTCGAAAGTTTCCGGTCGTTTTTATATAGTCCAACTCATTTTGGGTAACCCTGTACCATTTCCTGTCCTAGAATTTCTTTATCTTAAAAATCTGCGTACAAGCAATTTTTTTCAAATTCCAAAAATCTCCTCTCCCCTCCCCCCACCCGGCTCTTTACGAAAATTTTCTTATCTCCTCTCTCCATCTTAGAGTTTTAAAGGAGTGGAAAAACTGTTATATAATCATTACATTTTTTCAGCTTTAAAACTTCAAATAGATTTAGACATAAAATCCTTGTCAGTAAGTTANGCACGAGATCAAAATCAAGTATCTATTCATGAATACAAGAAATATTACAGCATTCCAATATGCCTCTACAGTTAATTTAGTATATATGTATATTTAGTTATGATTATTACCTACTGTTGGTTGAGTATTGGCTCCACCCCCCGACACACCCACCAATTCTTTAATTCCTTCGACCCCTGCATTCCCGCATTTCTCAACCTCTGAGTTTGTAAACCCTGCGTCAGGTGTGTGGGTCAGCATGTCAGGTAGACGACTGCTACTGTTGGTTTTACTGTCCGTGTCAACCAGCGACAAGTTGTTTTCAGGTTCGGACATAGAATTGTCAGAAGGTTTATTCGGTTTGACAATGTCAGGAGTTATAGAGACAACTTTCTCTCCGTCCACTTCTGTTTCCAGTTCGACTTTTTCTGGTTTATTTTCATTCTTTAGCTCGTCATATACAACTTCTGAGCTTCTGTTGCTACCCTCCTTATCCTCTATCCTCTCTTTTGAAGTGTCGTGAACAATATTTCCCGGATTTTGTAGGGAACAATCTCCCGCGTTTCCGGAGAATGTTTCCAGGTCTTGTCTCCTCTCCGGAGTAAGGTTTCGTTGGATGTAAACTGCTCCGGATAAAATCTAAAAATAAAATCTAAAATTTTAACAACTCGAATATTTTCGAACATTCGTTTTCGATTTTTGTAAACAAAATATCTTAAAATATACATTTCTCAATAATCCCCTATCATGTGATATCGATAAAACTAAACACACAAAAACACATTATGTTAAAATGATAAACAGAGCTTGGAGTTAGTTTTCTTTATATGGAACGAAAATAGATAGCATTTATAGATTACACAGCTGAGGCAAGTTCCGTTAACGTCACTAATAAGATTGAGATCGTTAACGAGTGGTAACTGTTAATAAGATTGAGATCGTTAACGAGCGGAAACTGTTAAAAAGATTTAGATCGTTAACGAGTGGTAACTATTAATAAGATTGAGATCGTTGACGAGTGGTAACTATTAATAAGATTGAGATCGTTAACGAGCGGAAACTGTTAATAAGATTGAGATCGTTAACGAGTGGTAACTGTTAATAAGATTGAGATCGTTAACGAGCGGTAACTGTTAATAAGATTGAGATCGTTAACGAGAGGAAACTGTTAATAAGATTGAGGTCGTTAACGAGTGGTAACTGTTAATAAGATTGAGATAGTTAACGAGCGGTAACTGTTAATAAGATTGAGATCGTTAACGAGTGGTAACTGTTAATAAGATTGAGATCGTTAACGAGCGGTAACTAAAAAAAAAAAAACTAAAAAAATACAGATGACGACTGAACATTTCTCAACTTAGAACGCAAGGATATCTGAAAAAATGGTCTTTTAAACGATTTTAATGAACTGTTTAAAAAGAGTCTAAAAGTGCTCAGTCCTACCACAAACAAACCCATAATCCTTGCCTTTTCCGGTTAACCTACAGACTTAAATTATAGAATACAAAGATGATAATATTTCTTAGATTCAAGATTGAATTAAAATTCTCATTTTCATCTTCTTAAAGTTCCAGGAACTCCCTCTGTTTATCATCTAATCCTCTTTAAATTCTTTTAGTCATGGAATACAAATAGGATGCTAAACATTTAAATAAAAGTTGACCGTACAGCGTTACTATTTAATTTTATTCATGCATTAGCTTCGGAACCCAGCTTTGCCTGTACACACAAAACTTTCTTATTAAAGTCAACCCACTTAATTTAGAATTTAAAATCAATCTAAGAACATTTCCATGGGTCTACCGAGTTACCCAATCAAAATTTGAGGCAAATCGGTCCAAGGGTTCTAGAGTTATAATCGGATATTCAAACAAACAAACAGTGAGATGTATTGAGATTACTACTTTATGTATGTAGATATTTTATAACGTGTTACCGTCGCGAGATTGTGTTTAATTTCAATGAAATACCTGAGATTTTACGATCGGTTGTCCATAGACAATGATCGTTTCACTCTCTGTACTAGTATCTAATCGCTCTTTCTCGCGGGAGGATGATCGCCGATCGTCGTCGCTTAGGGGCGGGGTAACCGCGCATATTGAAGGAATCGGTCGGCTTAAAATGGCCGCCTACAATACAAATGAAAAATTAATTCATATTTTTCTTTTTGTTCGGGTTTCAACCTTTTCTTAACTAACTCAACAGGCTGGGGATTGAACATAAAATCAGCATTTGAAATCAACTCTGCATGTGGTTTTCAGGTTTTAATCTGAATGTAAAAAAAGGATTACAAGAAGAAAAGGGAAATCATGGGGAGTGCTCTTGTGTTTAAAAATAAAAAGATAGATTCTAAATTTTGTAGCTATAATACCTTGTGTTTAAGATGGGAAGAATGTTGCGAATTTTCAAAGTCTGATTCCCAGAATGAGTTGTCGTCTTCGCTTGCCCTTGAAAAATCCGCGGAATTATTTTGAACTGAATCATCTAAATCCGTTACATGAACCGTAACAGGAGTAGAGATTATGTTCATTTGTTCAGTTTTCACATTTTTAGTTTCCCAAAGTTGATTCTCCTTAGTAGGAGTTCGGTTTGGTGAAACGGGTTGTTTTGCAGCCCTTGTTTGGTTTGGTGAACTTGTTTGGTTTGGTTCGGAGAAAATAATGTCGTACTGCTGAAGTTCACTTACATGAACCACAGTGTCGATGCTTTCCCTGTCCTAAAAACAGAAATATTTAAATTGTCCTTTATAGTTTATCATTTGTAGAGTAGAAAGTGCTATCACAATGGCGCCATAAAACCCTTTGTATGATAAAGAATGACAGAAGTATCTTGTTTTTTTTTCTTTTCTGAAAGTCTAGTGCTAAGGTATGCAAGCCGTTTTACAGTTTTTTATCTACAATTATTTTTATTACTCCTCAAATCAAAGGAAATTTTCAATATTCGGAATTTATTAATTCGAAGTGAATTAGACGTTAAACGCTGTACACTCAAGTGCCAATGCAAACACAGAATTTTCAGCAAGAAAAATAAGGATTTCTTTGATCAAACTATTTTCACTTTTATGAATCTGACATGAAACTCTATAAATTGCTTCTACTGCCTCATTAATATTCAAGAAAAAATGTAGGCAAAACTTTCAGTTCACAATGTTATTGCTTACCTTGTACAAAGAACTTGTTCTGCTGGGTGGTGGAGGTCGTCTTTTTTTTGCTCGAAGAACAACACCATCTTTCATCGTTGTTCCTTCTTTCGACAATTTCAGGGTTCCCTCTGGATCGAAATCCTCGACAATTTTCAAAGTATCGACTGTGTCGAAAGTCGAAAATCCCTGGGTCACCTCTTGGAACCCGTCGAAGTCGTGAAATGTTGTGTAGTAGCCTTCTGTATCACAACTGTGTATTGAGATATCCTCTACACTGTATTCATGCGGAGCATCCCTCTCCCCCTCCTCCTCCCCTCCATCCTGCACCTTGATACTTGACTCCTCCCCTCCTAGGAAATAAAAGTAAATATATTAACTGTATATAGAGATACAGTGTACATATACAGTTTAGATACTGGGATACAGATTTATATAAAGCTAGTTTTTATGAACTGTATACAGAGATACAGTGTAAATATACAGCGAGAACCAGAAAACTCTGGAATTGGAAGCCGACTTTTAGACTCAATTTATGAGTTTAAATAGTCCAATAAAGATGAGGCACCGCAATTGTGTAAATAGGTATTGCTTTAATATCGTCTTCCTAGTCTGCAGTTTTTGGTTTATCTCTGTTTATATATATACCATATATACAGGATATACATACAGGGCATGCCAGGATACAGAGTTATACCAGGATACAGGATACAATATACATGTTACAAATACACTATGATACAGGGGTATATCAGGATACAGGATACAATATACATGTTACATATACACTATGATACAGGGGTATATCAGGATACAGGATACAATATACATGTTACATATACACTATGATACAGGGGTATATCAGGATACAGGACACAATATACATGTTACATATACACTATGATACAGGGGTATATCAGGATACAGGACACAATATACATATTACATATACGCTATGATACAGGATACAACTAGAAGACCAGTAAAGTAATTATATAGTGTTTGAATAAGAATGGATTGAGACTGACTGGATAAACAAGATAATGAAATATAGCAGACATATGGAAACTAGCAAACCTTTCATTATAGTTAACATACACTATACAGACATACCGAGAGGCTCCACAAACAATGACTTTCTTGAAAACTTTAATCTACGCAATTTCATTACAATTTTGCTTCTTAAAGACGTTGATCTATATCCGTAATTTTATTACAATTTGGTTTGATCTATACACGTAATTTTGCATTTTGAAGAGTTTGATATACGCAATTTTATTACAATTTTTTAAAATTTTATCCCCGCAATTTTATTACAATTTTGCCTTTTAAAGAATTTGGTTCAAGTAATTTCATTAAATTTTGCTTACAATTTTGCTTCTTGAAGACTTTGATCTAAGCAACTTAATTACAATTTTTTTTTTGAAGAATTCTATCCATGCAATTTTATTACAATTTTGATTATTTAAGAATTTTATCTATTTATAAGCAATTTTTTTACAATTTTGCTTCTTGGAAAAATTGATCCATATACGCAATTTTGTAACAGTTTTGCTTCTTGAAGAAATTGATCTACGCAATTTTGTAACAATTTTGCTTCTTGGAGAAATTGATCCATATACGCCATTTTCTTGCAATTTTGCTTTTTGGAGTAATCGATATACGCAATTTCAAAACATTTAGTTTTTTCCCCTTTTGAATCAAACCATTTTCTAAATCCTGGGGTTTCTGATTTTATATTTCATCATATTAAAATTTGAACAAATATCTTAATGTCAATTTTATGAGTGCAAAAGTGACAGAAAACCTTTTTTAGATATAAAAAGTAAATGAACATTGAACAAGATGACTTTTCCTTATCATTATTGTAACAATTTTAACATTTAGAACTTCAGGACCTTATTCATGTTTGTGATATTTGCAGTAGTAATGCAGTATTTCAAACGTTGAATTGACATCTGGTGGTCTCCAGATTTTGGTAAAATTTAGATTCATGAATATGCTAATTTAATTGGTTGGCCAACAGTAGTGGCTTGTTGGAAATCTACATAACAGGTCCATCTAAGCCGAGAGGGAGGGGGGTATATGGAATTGAGTACAGTGGTAACCAAAAAACACTAGAATAATTACCATTTTCACTATTTCTTTTAATTATAAATGATTACAAAGAAATTCATAATTTGTAACTACAGATTTATACAATTATTCATTGTACATAGATTATAAAAGTAAAATAGGTGGCAACAGAGAAATGGATCAATTATACACGAAGGCACAAGTGTCAAATATAACAAGAAAAACGAAATTTTCTCACATTAGTTGACATGTTTTCAAAGATTAAATAAAAAAGTGTAAAAAAGAAAAATAAAGAACGCATGAAATTGCATTTATTTTACTGTAAGTTCTAAAATTATCACTATTATCAATAATTTTGTTGGAAACAACAACTAAGTTGACACTTGTGACGTAAGAATACAGCTGTACCTCACAAATATTTGAACTCCTACCTAACTCTGAATGATCTGAAATGACTCCCATTGATAAACTTGAAACAGGTCTAGCTAGAACTCTTGGAGTCGTATCTTCTACAACTCTTGGAGTACACTGTGCACAAGATTAAACTGTTCTTGGAAGCTCAGACAAGATTTAAAAATCAATGCTCTAGGGGTTCAACCAGAAGACAGGGTGGGGAATAAGCCAGATGAAGGTAGGTGGGTGGTTAGAGAGATTACATCAATTTAATAAGAAAAAATATTATCTTTTGATCTATCAGATGATTTGTAAAATCTTATTTGACCTAAGAAATCTTTTTTATTTTTAATCTATGATTAGAAAAAATGTCGTCCCTTCTGTAATACTGTAGATATTCACAATACTCTCGTAATTTAGATCAAATTAAAAAGTTTTGTACCTTCGTTTTCATCTTTTTTTCTAAAAAGTAGAGATAATAAATCAATAAAGGATTCCCCTCCATCTACCCTTTAAATGTTCTCTTTTTATAAAATTTCCCCCTTTTACCCTTTCCCCCAGTATTCAACTAAATGTCAATTTATAAACCATGCAATTCATTTTAACAAGATAAAACCATGGTGTTCTTCTAGAAAAAGAATTTGAACTAAGTAAAATTAAACATTGTAAATGTACGTTATTTTTTATGAAAAATGCAACTTTCTTTTTAATAATTAATAAGTAGTAATCATTTGACGAAATTTCTTTCTTCCGTTGAAGTAAAAATGACGAATTAAATAAAATATATAATTTTTTTAAAAGAACCATACTCTAAATGATAATCAAAGCCCCACCTTATTTTGCGTATTTTTCGCCCCTTTCCCTTGCGTGATTAGACCTTCACTTCCTAATATATATAGAGAGAAGAATGAAATACAGAGGGGGGGACTTGCAAAAAAAGTTTGAATTAAAATTCATCAATTTAAATTCTTCAATATGGTTTTTTATAATGTTAGTTTTTTTAGATAAAGTAAATTTTCCTTTTTTCCTTCAACCCCCTCCCCCCTCCTTGTGTGTTAACTAATTGGGTAAAAGAAAGTTAAAATTGTCTGTATAGCCGGGGCTGTATTGTGTATATTGCACGAGCTATACATTTTCAGATTCATAAGATTTTAAAATAAACTGTAAATATATGTTTTTTGTTTTAAAAACAAGTTTAAAGTTCAAACTAATTTTATCACTTGAATTTTTTTCTCAAGAAAATTTTTTAAAAAGTTAATCGCCAAAAATTATAATTAAAAATTGTGTATTAACTTTGAAATATGGTTATTTTTCCCTTTTGAGATTTGCCTTTAAATAAGACATCTATTTTTCAAAGAATAGGATAGTTAAATGTTTTAATCGAATTCTAATTTGAAAATAATTGTATTTAAACGGTTGAACCTTTCGAAATAGATCAGCTTAAATACAGGGGTTTGCATATTTTTTCTTGCTCAATTCTATACGCAAATACATATAATAATGAAAATATTTATATTGGACAAATTAAGGAGCCAATTGTATAAAAACGATGAAAAATTTGTGTCTTTCAACTTTTAAAAATATGAATTTTTTAGATTAAAATTTGAAAACATAAAGAAAGTAAAAGAAAGGCAGAATGTTCCTGTTAAAAATGTAAAATAATAGTTTATAAAAGTTTTCAAAGAAAATGACGGCAGCAGAAGTGTCCCCCCCCAGACCCTAATTAAGTTGTTTTGTTAAACTAACTTTTTGTAAATTTCCCGTTAATGATTGAACACAGAACATCCTGACTATTTTGACGCTTAATTTACTTTCAAGAAGTTTTAACTTGATATTTTTGACACTGCAGTTCCCGCTAACCCCCATATCTCTTTTCTGTCGCATGATCTTTAGCTTGTGTACAATGTTACACCTCTGCGTAACATTAAGATAATTTAGCATATTTTACTTGGCGCATTTTCATGATTGATGAGATACACGGGGAAAATAGTAAAGGGTGTAGACAGCCCAAGGCCACTAATGTCAGCAAATACAGGCAGTGCCAGCCACAACCTAGGCCTAGGGCTTGGGAAACAGGCAGTCGATATATATGTTATATATATATTAATCACCTATAAATAATCAGCCACGGATGGCACTGAGTGCTTCCTCCTGGTACTACGGTGATTTGTTTTGTTTTGCAAATAAATAGCCTAAAGTAGTTGAACAAGGTATGTAAAGTTAAACTAGTTGTGTGTGGTTGAACTATGTATGTGAAGTTGAACTAGGTATTTGTAGTTGAACTATGTATGTGTAGTTAAACTAGGCAAGTATAGTTGAACTAGGAATGTGTAGTTGAACTAGAAATGTTTAGTTGAACTAAGAATGTGTAGTTGAACTAGGTATGTGTAGTTGAACTAGGTATGTGTAGTTAAACTAGGTAAGTATAGTTGAACTAGGTATGTGTAGTTAAACTAGGTAAGTATAATTGAACTAGGTATGTGTAGTTAAACTAGGTAAGTATAGTTGAACTAGGTATGTGTAGTTGAACTAGGTATGTGTAGTTGAACAAAATATGTGTTGTTGAAATAGGTGAATGTAGTTGAACTAGGTATGTATAGTTGAACTAGGTATGTGTAGTTGAACTAGATATGTGTAGTTCAACTAGGTATGTATAGTTGAACTAGGTATGTGCAGTTGAACTAATGAAGAAGTTTATAAATCCCGACAAATGAATTATAATTTTTTTTTTGGATTGTATTTATAATTTTTATTCCAGTATGTATAAAATCTGTCAAATTTTGAGTTAGTTTGCGTTTAGAAGTTGTTTGTCTTATCTTAAAATATTTAAAAAATTAATCAACCTTTCTATACCTCACTGTCAATTTGTCTGTTATTTACCTCCCTGTCTATCAATCAACCTAATTACCTCCCTGTCTATGTGTCTGTTATCTAATCAACCTATCTACCTCCCTGTCTATGAGTCTGTTATCTACCTCCCTGTCTAATTATCAACGTATCTACCTCCCTGTCTATTAATCAACCTATCTACCTCCTTGTCTATTTGTCTGTTATCTACCTCCCTGTCTATTAATCAACCTATCTACCTCCCTGTCTATTAATCAACCTATCTACCTCCCTGTCTAGTCTCCATGTGTCTGTTATCTAAACTTTCTCTCTATGCTGTGTCTAACCCCCGAAAAACGGTTATTCTATTAAAATACGCGGCCATTTTGTAATCCTTAGTCATTCTCTCTTTTCTACAACTATTGGATAAATGAAACTGTGAACAGAATTAAACAAAATGTTATTAATGACCCCTCCCCCCCTTATACTCTAACCCCCCCCCTCACAAAAACTGTTTATCATAATTATATACCATGATATTTATAATGTCAGGAAGATCTTTTTGAATCTGAATCAAACCATGCATATCTGATGACTTGGCTTTTTGTAAGAAGTTTTTTTTAACAGTAAAGAGGAAGAGTAGATATAATTTTACAGTTTGTAAAGGAATTGCAAGCGTAATTTCAAGTGACCCTCCGTGCAAAGATGACACTGGCCGATTTACATCGCTACTCTTCAAACCTTAGTCTGATCAAAAATGTTGAAGATACTGTCGTTTTTACTTGAAGCGTTTTTTCTGCGAGTTTTTCATGGATTCTAAAACAAGAAATGCTCAAGTCACGCAACAAGGGTACAGTTGTAAATCGAACATTGGCATCTTTGCATGGAGGGTCACTTGAAATTACGCTTACAGTCCATTTAAAGCTCTTGGGTTTTCCAACATCCTTGCTGTAGACTAACTAAAAAATTTCACCATGGAAGGGTTAAAAAAAAGAATGAAAGGGGATTGTTGAAATATACCAAAAAGAAAAACTTAAAATAATTAAATTTAATTCTAAACTAGATATTAAAATCAGTTAATCGTCCCTGATATTCGTCCTTATCCTGATCTGAACCAGAATTCGTCCAAACACCGCTGGACGACAGTGCACCGTCTGGATGGGCGGAGCGAATGAAAGGATTGGCGGAAGAGGGCGGAGCTGTAAACGGCGGAGCATGGTTTCTTCTCATAGACTCGTAATAACTCTCCTGCCCCGCATCCTACAACATTACATTTTAATTTTAGTTTTAAAGGATTCTCATGTTTTAAGATACAGTCCACTGTTGCTCGGGATTTTGTAATTCTTTACTGAACTTTATCTGGAAACAGTTATACAGGGTGTCCCAATAAACATGGGAATTCAGTTACGAATTTGATATCGTCTTTGTTATGAATTAGCATTGTAATACCTGATTTCAAAAGACATAATATTATTATGTTTATTTTATGAAAACATTTCGAAAAGCTAGTATTGAAAGAGAAACACTTTAGTAAAAATATTTAAAGAAACGACAAATACAGATAGATCTAGACTTATTTCAGCACAATTTTAATTCCATGAATTTTTTGGGACTTAAAGCATTAAAAAGTACAAATAAAAAATAAAAAGAAACCCTTCAAATGTTAACTGTTTAACACAAGAGATAAACATAAAAACAAAACAACAATAACTAAATAATATTCAACGATTATTTCAAGGAAAATTTGAAGAAAAACAAAAACTAAACTTCGCAAACAATCCCATTAACTACTGGTATTCCAAATCTGAGAAGTAAAAACAAAGATATGAATTTTAAAACAAAACAATAAGATACATTTATCAGTCGTTTAAACGTCCTGTCATTATTATAATGTGAATCTCCCCCCCCCCCTTATGAAATGATGTCCAGTAATTTTGTTATTATTACAATAAATCTTTATAAACTTTATACATCATAAAAAATCACGAAACCTTTACATCGATCAAATTGGTATTTTTATACGAATTGACATAAAAGTATATTTCTTTATTTAAAATCTAACTAATCAAAGCAGACACTTTAAAGTTATGATCAGTATAGTATATCATTATTGATATTTTTAATAAATTCATTAATCTTAATACTTCAGTTCGTCTGACTTTTGAACTATACTGCGTGTCACAATAAACATGACATTTCTTTGTAAACAGAGCTGAAAATGTAGTCTTTAAACAAAATTATGAATATCATCATGTGGATTTAACGGTTCTGTCAATATTTCAGAAAGCTGTGACTTTTGATCACAATTTAACCCCTTATACAAAATTGTTTAACCTTTTTTCTTAAATACATTTTGTTGGCATATACATTTTAAATGAAAAAGTATAAACTAAACAAAACCGTAAGTTTTAGGATTGTTAAATTATAGACCCAAAACACGTTTTATATCAAATAAAAGAAACCAAATACTTCACACTCTGGCTAGTTCGGGGTGTCCTTTGAGTATTATGCTTAAAATTATCTTGTTCTGATTTAAAATTGTAAACATATTTAAAAGCTTAATAATCGGACATTTTTTTATCACCGTTATTATCATTATTATTATTATCATTATCATTATCATTATCATTATCATTATCATTATCATTATCATTATCATTATCATTATCATTATCATTATCATTATCATTATCATTGAACTATTTTTTTTTGCTTTAAGTAAAATCTTTAGTTGGTAAATTAAATGGTTTGGCAGAGTGAAGGAATCGTAGATGCAAAAAGATAGTGTACACTGTACATACACTGTAAATATTCAAGTAAAATTCTCATCCTTTCTGGGTAACCCTGTATGTAACAGTCTCTTATTGATCATGATTAGTGGGACACACTGTATATAAACAAATATATAGTTACAATAAATCATTAATTAAAGGGACTGTAAGCGTAATTTCACAAAAGTTTCTTCTGATCAAATCTGAATTAAATTTCGATGTTGATAGATATCAAACATTATTATTTTCAACTTCGGATTTCTACAAAAGTGACTTGCGCTTACAGTCCCTTTAACGAATTTATCAGTCAATTCATTAATTCATTAATTCATCTAGTCAGCCGTAACATATTATACATATTTATATTAAGTGAAAGTAACTGTTTTCAATTTTTGTTCTAACATTTCAATTTCTTTGTTCCATAAAATATTGTGTTGATTTCATTTTTTAAGTTTGTAAAATATGTTCAGCCCTATGAATTTAAACGACTGTAATTTGGTTCTCTCTTTTCTACAACTATTGGATAAATGAAACTGTGAACAGAATTAAACAAAATGTTATTAATGACCCCTCCCCCCCTTATACTCTAACCCCATTACAAATTGATCCCTAAATTAATCTGCAAATTGATCCCTAGATAAAATTACAAATTGATCCCTAAATTAATCAGCAAATTGATCCCTAGATTAATTTACAAATTGATCCCTGAATTAATCTGCAAATTGATTCCTAGATTAATCTAAACTTGGATCCTAAATATTTACTAAATTTAAAAAATATGTTTGTAGAGGGGAAAATTTTCTTAGCCTAGATGTGCCGTGTATAAAGCGGTAATTAGGAATTTTTTCGTTTGGCCAAGGGGGGGGGGGGGTATTATCCAAAACCTATTTTTTTAGGATTTAATTTTAAAATGTGAACTTTTTAAGTAAAACCCATTCATTCCCTTCAAATTAGTGCATTTAATGTTGTTAAAATTCGAAGTGAGGCTGTGCCAATGAGGTTATAGTGTTTAGAGTGATGATGTATGCTAATCCTTTACTCATTTTTTAGGCCATAAACTATACCGAGAGCGTACTGCATATTTGTTTATTATAAGTTGATTTTGGACTAGCCTATAGTATATCAATATTAGTAAACAGTTGTAAGTGTACAGTACAGCTAACTGAGCACACAGGTAGAGAACTATCAACCCCCCTTTGGCTGTGCACACTGCACATTTGCTGTTTCTTATGTTCATTGGACTAATTCAAATCGTAAGTGTTGCCGTTGCTGTTGAGATTTGTACACTCCGTTGGACATTCGAAATGCAGATTAGTGATTTCTGAATTGACAAAAGTTTCGAGCTCCGAAAAAAAACTGCTACCTGATCTGAAAATGGGGATTCTCTGTCCTGCGAGAGGAAAGGGTTGGGTTCCTGATCCAGGAACGGAATATCAGAATCCAGGAACGGAATATCAGAATCCAGGAACGGATTTCTCCGATCCAGAGATTTCAATTTCTTCATCTGTTCCCCGGACTTGTTCTCCGGGGGTGGCGGAGGTAGAACTATATCGGAGAGGGTTTTGTTAAGGTAGGAGGAGGATAAGGAAACTAGATCCAGATCAGGAATTGTCGTCGTTGCTAAAAAACAAAATTTTATTATTTTTCACGAGAACAAGGATTTTCTAACATAACTAGAAATGTACAAAATTTCACACAAAATTACGTTAAACGTTTGCCAATTTAATCTATTATTTTTTTATAGTTTGCCATTTAATCTATTAATTAATTTCTCACAAACTCTTTAATGCTGTCTGGATCTCTGTGCTATTTTATATGTAAAATCAAAATCAAAAACCCATAAACATAATAATTTAAATAATGATTTAAAAAAAAAATAAAAATGATTACCTAATGAGCTGCCAGGATCCACGTCCATAGATACATCCACATCCTGGGTACATCTAGAATTCTCAACACTCTTAGACCTAAATATTGGAAACATGTTTTCGAGTTAATAAGAAACACAAATTTTGCCTTAACCCTATTCCAACTGGGGGGGGGGGGTCAATTTGACCCCCCTGTAGTTTTTTTTACATAACTCAAAAAGTATTGGTCTGAGGCTGTTGAAATTTTCTGACTTTTCCTATATACCCAAAGCCCTCCCTTTAAGCCTAAAACCGGGCTTTAATACTAACTGCCTGAGTCCTCAGGCACACTGCCTGAATGACTGCTTTTTCCTGTAACAAACTAAATCTTTGTTTTGACCCACTTCCACTTGTCAGATTTTGATAAAATTTAGCTTTTTGGAAAGCCTTAACATAAGGACATATAAGGAAATGAATTGCACAAGTTTTGCGAAAAAAATTGCAAATTTTTGCAAACAACCTATCACAGGAAATTTTTTGCATATTTGAAATGGCATGGTCAAGGGCTTTTCAAAAATGTATAATTTTTCATTTTTTGAACAAATTTTTTTGCAAACATTTTTACTATATATTATCTGGATTTTGCGATAAAAAAATTCAATTTTTGCAAATTTGCATTTTTTTGCAGATTCTAAAAGTAGAGCACAAGAGCTTTCCAATGATGTATCATTTGTCATATTTGAACATTAAACATGGGATTTAGAGGGGGGGGGGGGCCAATTTGACCCCCCCAGCATATCCTGGTTTTCAAGTACCCCAGCAGAGATAGGGTTAAATGCTAAAAACAGAAAGATTCCCTTCCTTTAACAATTATTAGTTTTAAATCCCTTTTTTAAACAAAGATAGTTTAAAAAAAAGCCTTTTAAAATATGTTGACACCTTGCATACAGACACAGTTCAAACATTTTAAGAATAAACTTCTTCATTAAACAAGAAAGAAAATGGGCAAGGTTTAAATGAGGAAAAAAACTTTATCTACATACTTCGATGCTTCTCAGTGTAAGGTTTTGAAAAGACAAGTTAGAACTATAAATTAAATGATTCACTTATAAAAACATTCGATCATCATTTTCTTTTATTATTAAGTTTACCGTTTATTATATATTTTGTCCTGTGAGTGTTCTGTTCCTCCTCCCAACGTGTTTCGCCTTTTATCTCTCTTCTTCTTTCGTCTTCTCTGTTGAACCGGTTGCAGAGACCTGAAAAAAAAATCGTCAAAAAAGTGTCAAAAAATCTCAAAGCCAACAATGTCGTAAAAAAGTTAACTGAATAAATAAAGTAAAATTTCATTAAAAAGTCAAATTTATTAATTAAAAATCAAATTGAAGATGTACTTTTAAGTAACCCTAAATTCATATTGTGGTACTCTTTAAAACATTCTCTGGTTCAGACGAAATTATTTATTTCTGAATTGATATAGATTAAATTGGAGGTTTTCTGTAAATATAACTCGCGGATTCTACAGAAACAATGGAATAAGTTGATAAATTAATCACTTTTCAACTTGAAAAACGACAATATCTCTCACCTTATTGATCAGATAAAGATTTATATGCTACAATTGTAAATCAGACAGACACCGTTTTTAAAGATACGTTATACAGTTCCTTTAAGAATTTCTTAAATTTCTTAGTCTTGAATTTCCTTCGCGCCATTTTTTAGGAACAATAATTTTCCTGGAAATTGTTTCTATTTGGCAGAATTTTGCCCTTTTTCCGAGAATTGGAAGAATAAATAATAAAATGTTGAACCTTTGATATCTAACATCTGGATTTAGCTGCTGACCAGATCCGGGGTTTTGTTTTATTTAACGATTTATACTTTTGATCAACCATTATTTTACAATTCATTTCTTTCTCAAAATATTTCAGATATTTTTTAGACAGGATAGATATTTAAGGAGAGATATTTAAGGAAAGATATTTAAGGAGAGATATTTAAGGAGAGATATTTAAGGATAGATATTTAAGGATATATATTCAAGGAGAGATTTTTAAGGAGAGATATTTAAGGATAGATATTTAAGGACAGATATTTAAGGAGAGATATTTAAGGAGAGATATTTAAGGAGAGATAATTAAGGATAGATATTTAAGGAGAGATATTTAAGGATAGATATTTAAGGATAGATATTTAAGGATAGATATTTCAGGATAGATATTTAAGGATAGATATTTAAGGACAGATATTTAAAGAGAGATTTTTAATGATAGATATTTAAGGATATATATATTTAAGGATAGATATTTAGGGATAGATATTTAAGGACAGATATCTAAGGATAGATATTTAAGGAGAGATATTTAAGGATAGATATTTCAGTAGAGATATTTAAGGATAGATATATTTAAGGATAGATATTTAAGGATAGATATTTAAGGACAGATATTTAAGGATAGATATTTAAGGACAAATATTTAAGGACAGATATTTAAGGATAGGTATTTAAGGATAGATATTTAAGGATAGATATTTAAGGATAGATATTTAAGGATAGATATTTAGGGATAGATATCTAAGGATAGATATTTAAGGATAGATATTTAAGGATAGATATTGAAGGATAGATATTTTTGTTGTTGATTCATTGCTAAGAGAATAATTTGTTCCAAAATATCTCAATTCAGTGCAGATTAACGACATGTTTATTATAAATATATAATATACTAGGCATACAGGGCGCTTCACACTCATCTTATATTTTTATTTTAAACATTTTTTCTTTACATACATTGTAAAACAAAACATAAAAAATCGCGGATTTTATAAAAAATTGGTAGATGTTCAATATTTTCAAAAATCGAATTTTGTTAATGGAAAATCTTTGAAAATTCGTTCAACCACAAACCTTCCCTAGGTCACGTGATGTCACGTCGGTTCAGCCGTTTCGACGTTTATTGGACAAGCAAAGTATATATAAATAGATATATACATAGATATAGATAAAATGCCGTTTTATATATATAAAATCATACCTCCAGAACATTCTGGAATAAAAATTAAAAAATTATTTAGAAATATGAAGAATTTATTTAACAAAAATAAACAAACAGTTTTTGCAATACGTTTAATTAGAACGTTTATTTACTAAGGGTAAACACTAAACATACATAAGGAAAAAAGTCTTTAATTATTTTTCTGAAGATTTTCAAAAGATATTTGTATCTTTAAATTAGATTTAAAAGTAAGTAGAGGGAAGGGCGGCTGGGTGTGGGGGGGGGGTGTTTGATGACAAATTGTATCATGCATCATAGTTGATGGCAAAACCGTTCAGTCTTAGTTTTCGAATAATTTTCACCACAAATATTCGAAAAAATCTATAAAAATATACAAATACAAATAATAACAAAACCAAAAATACCCTTTGCATGCAGTTAATAAATACAAATCAAAATCTGTTCAAACCTAATTTATTTCTGCAAACAATTACTGATCTATAATAATAAATTATCTTCACTAAATGTCCCACCTGCCCTAATGGATATAACCTTATAACCTAAGTTTTAGCAGAGGTTTGACAACCCAAAAAAACTGTAAAAAAATAAGTTTTATTTTGGTTAAATTTACGTTTCACATTATTTTGCATTTTAAGGGACTATAAAAGTGATTTCAAGTGACCCTCCAGGCAAAGATGGCAATGGAAAAATATTCTATGTTTAAACCGTAAATCTACATAAGTTGGTGGTATTTAAAAAAGCTTTAATAAATTTGTTTGTACAATAAAACAACCTCCACACCACCCCCTCCATAGAAAAATATTTTAAGATTCCTAAATTTATTTACTAATTCTGAACAACGACAAAAGATTTATTTAACCCAACTTCCTCCCAGCAGAGTACACATGCCCCACACTCGAATTTAGATTTATATATAAATTATATTTTAGGCAAATTGCTAATAAATCCTCCAAATGGAAAAAAAGTTTTTTGAGAAATCATACAATGATACCCATAAAAATGTGAATAGGAAGACAACTGTGCAGTGTACACAGACCAATTTCACTTAACAAGCTATTTCTAAGTTACTGGTTTATAAAAACATGTAAAAGGTCGTCTTCTTTAAATAAAAGCATACCTCCGAAACTCCGTCATTGAGTCAAAGTTTCTCCCGGAGACATCAACCTTAACCACCTGGGAGTCCTGGATAGCAGGCAGGGTTCCATACCTAGACAAACCGATTAGAAATGGGCATAGATTTATCATTTATTTTTATTTCCTAGTCCTTTTACTTCAGTCTAACCCCCCTCCCTCTTCTCCCTTTTTGCTCCCCTCGCCTTCGTTATAAAATCCCTCCCACTCTTTTTAAACCCCCCCCTCTCTTTTCATTTCTTTGCCAAATTTTAAAGGAGAATTTATGTGACCTACTTTTGATATTTAAGGATAGATATTTAAGGATAGATATTTAAAATTTAGAAATCTCTGCGTACAAATCACTCTGAAAATAAACAAGTTAAAACAAAGAAAAATTTTTTAAACATTTAATTTACACATTTTCGAAACTCCAGGGTTAAATTAAACACAGGATACATTTTGAAAAACACTTGCAGGTTTAGGAGAAAATGAAAAATTCTCCAGAATTCCATCTTTTTGATAATTATTGCCGAAAATTTTAAAAATTTCACATTTCTAATTTTTTTTTAAATTACTAAACATGGAGATTACATCTGTTTTTTCTTTAAGATATAATAAATAATCTTTACTAATTTATTTCAATAAGTGTAATTAATCTTTATAATAATAGTAATTAAAATTACTTATTAATTTAGAAGACTTTGACTGATTACAGTATACTGATAGCTGATTAGTATAGACAGCTGAGTGATATGATAGATTATTACAAAGAAAGCTGATTAGTAAAGCCATCTGATAGTGATATGATAGATGATAACTTAAGAAAGCTGATTAGTAAAGACAACTGATAGTAATATAATAAGTGATTATTTAAGAAAGCTGATTAGTAAAGCCAGCTGATGTGATATGATAGGTGATTACTTAAGAAAGCTGATTAGTAAAGACAGCTGATAGTGATGTAATAGGTGATCACTTAAGAAAGCTGATTAGTAAAGACAGCTGATAATGATATAATAGGTGATAACTTAAGAAAGCTGATTAGTAAAGACAGCTGAAAGTGATATAATAGGTGATTACTTAAGAAAGCTGATTAGTAAAGACAGCTGATAATGATAAAATAGGTGATTACTTAAGAAAGCTGATTAGTAAAGACAGCTGATAGTGATATAATAGGTGATTACTAATTCTATGCAAAGCTGTTGTTTAGAGGATTTATTGCCAATTATTTGAAACCCCAAATATGGAATGGATTGAGTAGATGGGGTTAGGGCCATAGGGAGGATTATTTCAAGTAACCCTCCATCCAAAGATGACAATTCCCGAATCACATCGCTACCCCCTTAAAACCTTTTTCTGATCAAGTATTAATTAGGTATCAATGTTTATAATTTTGATTATTTTTAACTGTGAGTTTTCTGTAAAAGTGATTTGTGCAGGAAAACATATAAGAATTATCAAAATTAACTCTTTTAAACCTAGAAAAACTAGAATTCTTTCACAATATTGATCTGATAAAAGTTTTCATGGGTACCCTTGTAAATCAGACATTACCATCTTTGCATGGAGAGTCACTTGAAATTACGCTTACAGTCCCTTTAAGTGTAAAAAGAGTAAGATATATTTCAGACTAAACAACATGTTGGCACTGTTCATGTTAAAACTTTAAATATTAGAAAATATCTGAAAATGAGATAAACTAGAAAGCATCTACCTATTACACAAAACAGATTAGCAGTTTTAACTTAAAATATACTCTTCACATAGCACTCTAGGTTTTCCCGATAATCATTTAGAATTTAAAAAAATTTGAAAGTAGGATGCTCAAAAACTTTGTCTAGCCAAAAATACAATTTTTTACCACAAAATAATTGAATTACACCCTCAAAATTATAATTTTTTCCCCCTCAAAATCAATTTTTTTCCGAGAAAATGATTCCACAAAATCAATAATTCTTTAAAAAAAAGTCATCAAAATGTTTGAAATTTTCTACAATTTTTTATGAAATAAAAGAATACTCCATGAAAAAAAAAAAAAAAATTTCAGAAAATAACAAACTCTTAAGAGTTTAAAACGTACACAAAATTAAACTATATTAATTGTTCTTGTATTTAGTGCAAATACAAGTACAATATTTTTAATATTTTTACAATACAATTTTTTAAAGAAATTTTACATAACATTATTGGTGTCCAATTTAGTCTAAAATTATCGACGTTATTGAATAATTTGTCTAACACTGAATATTAAAATGTCATCAGTGACTTAAAATACAGCTGTACTGTATAAATGTAAACGTTCGTAATTTCCATTGCCATCTTTGTATTGTACTTGATAATCTTTTTATTCAATTTTAGTGGATTTTTTATCCCGAATTTTTACTTACAATTTCATAATTTTGTGTATATAAGTTTCATAAATAATCAATAACATTTCATACCTGTATGATGTTAAAAACCATCCGGGGTATTATTTTGCCCGCGTATTATTTTAAAACTGTTGACACTTTCCCCACAATATATATTAAACAAACACAGCATTTATAAACACTTGCCGAACGTAAGCTTTGTTGTTAAATAAGTTTTTTAATGAAGCTATACGAAAAAAGATTTAAAAATCTGCCTTGAATGTCGGCCTAGCTCTTATCAAAGAATTATAAAATCAGATTCTAACGTCACACCGGTAAAGAAGGTTTCCTTTTAATTTCGCAGGTTTTCATAAAAAAACTCATGTTGTTATTTAGGAAGATATATTTTTTTGGTCGATCAGCTCACCTGCTGTGTTTCAACTTCGAAGTTTTTAAATTTCTGTTTTGAAGATGAAGAACTAAAAATAGGAACACAGACATAGGAGACTTCCTCTCTTCCTTCAACCTAGTTGGATCAAAATTATATAAATAATAATAATAATAATAATGATAATAATAATAATAATAATAAAATTGATCATGTAAACTATTGTATACTGTTGAATATTGTTGTATACTGTTGTATACTGTTGTATACTGTTGCATACTATTGCATACTGTTGTATACTGTTGTATACTATTGTATACTATTGTATACTGTTGTATACTGTTGTATACTATTGTATACTGTTGTGTACTGTTGTATACTTTGCATACTATTGTATACTGTTGTATATTGTTGTATACTGTTGTATATTGTTGTATACTGTTGTATACTGTTGTATACTATTGTATACTGTTGTGTACTGTTGTATACTATTGTATACTATTGTATACTGTTGTACACTGTTTTATACTATTGTATACTATTGTATACTGTTGTATGCTGTTGTATACTGTGTTATACTGTTGTATACTGTTGTATACAGTTGTATACTGTTGTATACTGTTGTGTACTGTTGTATACTGTTGTATATTGTTGTATACTGTTGTATACTGTTGTAAACTGTTGTATACTATTGTATACTGTTGTTTACTATTGTATACTATTGCATACTATTGTATACTGTTTTATACTGTTGCATACTATTGTATACTATTGTATACTGTTGTATACTGTTGCATACTATTGTATACTGTTGTTTACTATTGTATACTATTGCATACTATTGTATACTGTTTTATACTGTTGCATACTATTGTATACTATTGTATACTGTTGTATACTGTTGCATACTATTGTATACTGTTGTATATTGTTGTATACTGTTGTATATTGTTGTATACTATTGTATACTATTGTATAGTATTGTATACTATTGTATAGAATTGTATACTATTGTATACTGTTGTATACTGTTGTATACTGTTGTAAACTATTGTATACTGGTGTATACTGTTGCATACTATTGTATACTATTGTATACTGTTGTATTCTGTTGCATACTATTTTATACTGTTGTATACTGTTGTATACTGTTGTATACTATTGTATACTGTGGCATACTGTTGTATACTGTTGTATACTGTTGTATACTGTCGTATACTGTTGTATACTGTTGTATACTGTTGTATACTGTTGTATACTGTTGTATACTATTGTATACTTATTGTATACTGTTGTATACTGTTAGTATACTGTTGTATACTGTTAGTATTAATTTGTTTACTAACACCTGACAAATTGCCTCTTCAGCCCAATTAACTAGGCGTTTGATTGGAGTTGAGTACATGCGTGTTAACTGTTAAGTTTTGTACAAATTATGAGGTAAAGAGGGAACAATAAAGGAAATGAGATAAAGAAAACTCAAAAATGTTTTGAAAAAATTAAAATAATCAAATTTAAATAAAAACAAACATTAAATAATTACATACAAACAGTTGTTTTCAGATTTATGTTAGACTTTCTAAAGCTTCTTTTCCATATATGCATACATTTACTGCAGTTTTGCATTGCACTACTAAGGAATTCGAATTCTTAAAATGTTGCCAAGTTTTCATATTGCAATTCTACTATATTCACTCTACACTCTACACTCTACACTCTACACTCTACACTCTACACTCTACACTCTACACTCTACACTCTACACTCTACACTCTACACTCAATACAAATGAATATATCAAGGTATTGATAAAACCCTAATGACTTCCTAATGATAGTTTAATCTCCAGAACGATTGGTTGAAATACACCACTACCCACTACTACTAGTTCAACACAGAGTGTTGTAATAAAAACTAAATTCAAACAGTAAAATTTTAAAATTTTGTTGATGTTGTACAGTGTACAGTGTACACTAATAGCTATCTACCTACCTGTGTAGTTGTATTTCTAGCATGTTGGTTCATGATATGTACACTAATAGCTATTACGCATCTGTGTTTTATTCCTTGGCGTGTTGGTACATGATATGTACACTACTAGCTATTGTGTACTTGTGTAGTTGTATTCCTGACATGCATGTACATATCATAATTGTACACTGCTGACAATGCCGTACCTGTATTGTTGTATTTATGGCGTGTAGGTACATGATATGTACACTGCTAGCTATATTGTACCTGTGTATTCCTGGCATGTTGGTACATGATATATACACTGCTAGCTATGTTGTACCTGTGTTGTTGTATTCCTAGCATGTTGGTCCATGGTATTTACACTGCTAGCTATGTTGTACCTGTGTTGTTGTATTCCTAGCATGTTGGTACATGATGTATACACTGCTAGCTATGTTGTACCTGTGTTGTTGTATTCCTAGCATGTTGGTACATGATGTATACACTGCTAGCTATGTTGTACCTGTGTGGTTGTATTCCTAGCCTGTTGGTACATGATATGTACACTGCTAGCTATGTTGTACCTGTGTTGTTGTATTCCTAGCATGTTGGTACATGATATGTACACTGATGGGTCTAGAGTTTGGTTGAAAAAGGTTCTTTGTCTCCACGTACTCCCGCTTGTAATGATTCTTCAACCTACTGAACTCTACCAGGTCTCCAGCAGCTAAAATATACAAAATATTAAATTCAAATTTTCATAACAATCAAGAATGTTAGTTTTGTAAATTTGTAATAGCAAAATTAAAGAGGCTTTAGCTATATGTATTTATTTATAGAGTAGTTTGTCTGTTTCAAAACGTTGCCCTTTAAAATTTGGTCTGATCAAGGATGAATGAGATTTACTTTTTTTTCTAACTGAAAATTGATTATTTTAAGAGGCAAAGAAAAAAAATATGTAAATTTACAAAAATATTAAGATTAAAAAACGACAATTTCATCCTTATTGTTAGTCAGATGAAGGATTAACGGTTACCGTTGTGAATCGGACATAATACTACAAAGTATTTCACTTGAAATTACGTCTACAGTCCCTTTCAGTTAAAGGGAGTGACCGGCAATATCTGGTAGTTGAACTGAGAGTGTAGCATTGTAGAGTATTTTTTGGAATTCATTTGAGACCTTTGAGACGTTTTTACGGTGCAAATTTGTTCAGCAAGAGCGCAAATTCCATCTTTAAAATTCTCCATCATTGTCTATTCTGGAGAGATGATTTTCAGAATCAGTTTTTGAAAAGTTATCCAATGAATTATCCAATGACTTCCATGAAAAATGTTGTAAAAATTCTTGCTGAACAAATATGCATCATAAAAACTTCTGGTAGGTCTCAAATGAATCCTAAAAAATTTCTTTACAAAATTGCATTCTCAGTTTAACTACCATACATTGCCGGTCTCTCCCTTTAAGTAATTTTTGTTTGTTGGTACACCCTCTGCTTGTGTAAAGATTAAGATATTAACAGTGTGTTTGCTCTAGTTTATATACAGAACATGCATTAAAGGAAATCTTATCAAAATTCAAAATTATTTGATGCAATCTTAAAAATTAAGCATATCGCAAGTTGAATTTTTTTCAATTAAAAAAATGTAATGGTAAAAAAAAATCTAGTAAAAATTTTCTTTTAGCAAATGAGTAAGATTTTAAATGCAATCACAATTTATCAAAATGGTGAATTAAACTAAATATTTTTTTTTCTTTTCAAGACTAAGTTTTCGTTTAAAATATATTCATTGATATGGGAACGATCCCTTAGCAAAATATATTCATTAATATGCGAACAATCCCCTAGCAAAATATATTTATTAATATGCGAACGATCCCTTAGCAAAATATATTCATTAATATGCGAACGATCCCTTAGCAAAATATATTCATTAATATGCGAACGATCCCTTAGCAAAATATATTCATTAATATGCGAACGATCCCTTAGCAAAATATATTCATTAATATGCGAACGATCCTTTAGCAAAATATATTTATTAATATGCGAACAATCCCCTAGCAAAATATATTTATTAATATGCGAACGATCCCTTAGCAAAATATATTCATTAATATGGGAACGATCCCTTAGCAAAATATATTTATTAATATGCGAACGATCAAAATGTTCAAAATGTTTAAAATATTTAAATTGTTCAAAATGAAATATATCATTATATTATTGATGCAATCTTAATATTTTTTCAATTTTAAAAAATTATTTCGTAAAAAATTATTTTTGTTGGATAGGAGTAAAATATTAAATGTAAAAACAATTAAGCAAAATGGTGTTTTCTATTCTTTCATCTAAGGCTAGTTAGTTTTTAAAATACAATATTCACCAAATAGCGAGGAATCCCTTAGAAAGATATGGATGTGCATTAATGTTTATATATAGGAGTAGAGATAACAATATTTATATAAAATATTCTACATGAGAGGGTCAATATTACGGACTTTATAAAAGATAATATTAAACAAATCATTTATCAAATAAATTTATTTTTCTTAAGTCAAACAAATTCAGTTTTTGCAAAAACTAAAATTTTCTAATCAAAATATCTTTGTAGCCTGTCGGTGTGCCCCTTTGCTGTTTTAAACCTAGACAATTCTTCATTTAACAGAATTTACAATTTGAATTATCAAAGACCTATGACATCGGGTTGCAAAGAATACATGGATTATAAAGTCAGAGTTTGTAGCGAAAACTCAATTTCTTTAAGAGAGAAAAAAAGAGATTTTGATCTGAATTAGATTGTTTACAAAACTTTACCACTGCGGCAAAAGAAAGTTAAAGTAAGAAATTAGATTAAACGGGAAAAAGGTGTGAAACCTAGTATTTTATAAAAGAGGCAACTCACGATTTATCATTGAGAATTTATTAAACCTAGTATTTATTAAAGAGACAACTCGCGATTTATCATTGAGAATTTATTAAACCTAGTATTTATTAAAGAGACAACTCACGATTTATCATTGAGAATTTATAAAACCTAGTATTTATTAAAGAGACAACTTACGATTTATCATTGAGAATTATTATTTTACTCAAAATTTTAAAACGTAAAAAATTTAAAGTTTTTGATTTTTAAACATGAGAAGTTAGGGTCTACGAATGAAAAGAGGGGGGGGGGGGTTAAATGCTTTTTATTGCCTAAAGCAGTGAAACCTGATGATATGAGAAGGGTTTAGGAAAGGATTAAGGAAGTTAGTTTGGAATAAACAGATTAAGTTACGACTGGATTAAAAAACACCAGGTGGAATTTTCAGAGAAGAAAACTTTTGAATAAGAATGAGTTAAGCTGCGTGCATTGTTAAATGTAACTATCATTATGATCAGTATATCAAACTTTCCAAACACTGCATTTTCAAAAAAACGAACAATGAGTTTGGAATAAAATATTTTGTGAGATATTCCTAACTTTCAGTTAATTATTTCGAAACGCTTAAAATGGTTCAATATATATATACAACGAAATATATACTAAAATTTCATATAATTTAAAAAGGTGTGAATAAATTTATTTCAATCATTTTATAAACACATAAAAATGGGTTTCTAATAAACTAGATATAACCTTCATTCATTAAGTTGGTTGCATTATTAAAGCAAATTTCTCAGAAACATAGAACTAAGCATGCATAAGGGAAAACTAAAATCCGTGTTTTGTGAGAAAGTTTTAAAAATTATGTTCCATCAATTGTAGACCCCAAAATGTAAAATTTTCAATTTAAATATTTTTTTTTTTCTCTCTCGGCCTTCTTAGTTCAAACAAACAAAAATATGGACTCTGATCATTGAACAAATATGAACATTGAGAACATTGTTTGTGTTCATGCGAACAATTTGTGCAAAATTACCTCTTTTCCTTGAATACATACTAAATATGTACTCGAATTCTGTTAAAATAAATATTTTAATATTTTCATGAAAATAATTCTAGAAAACATTTCAAGATAAAATCAACGAATAAGTGGGGGGTTTTTTTGGGGGGGGGGGCAAAATTTGTTTCGCTCCCCCCCTTCTTCCCTTATTCACATCGTCTTTTCCCAATATTATCTTCCTTGCAGTAAAGTTTAATAATGATAATTGAAAAAATAATAATGATAATTGAAAAAATAATAATGATAATTGAAAAAATAATTGAAAAAATAAATGTTTGCTGACTCCTAATAGTTGGTTTCAATCTTAAAGTGTTAAAAATTAAATTGTCTGGCTTGGCTGACATATTATTTCATTTACAAATAAAGTCGCAGCGCTCGGCCCAGAATTCAATTAATACTAATTCAAAACACTGCCTGTGAACAGGCTGTAAGGCACTATCGCAATATAGAACTAATTGTTAAGTTTAAACTTACGTATTTTTTCCTTTTTGGGATTGTATTTTTCGACATTTTCGTCAAGGATCGTCAGGCGATCCTTTAACTTCTGAGTCCGCGTTGAGATTTTTCCACAATTGAGTTCTAGGTCACTAAACATAGTGTCGGCGTGTTTGAGTAACGACGCAAGTTGACGCATGGCATCACAAAGCGTCTGATTACTGACGCATTCTAACGGATTTTCAACATTTTCGGGGATTTCCCGACCCGCTAAATGAACGGGATAAACTTGTCGTTGTACAAACGGCATGTTGTCACTGAGAGAATTAACTATTTTCGTAAATTAACAAACTCAACATTTTGTAGCGCCGTCCCGTACCCTTCCCGTAGCACTGCGCTGTTACTACTGGACTGGACATTATATACATCTGCCGGTACACTGAATGATAGATAGATAGATAGACTAGATTGACAGACGACAGCGTCCGCGTCTTTTCCTCAAAGGAATTGAGTTTTTGCCACAAACTAAAATCTCCTGATTCCAATATCTTTGCAATCTTATGGTGCAAACCTTTGATATTTCAAACTTAGATTATTTTATCTACAAGTATTAATAGTTTGAAATATCTAAGGTCTACGAAATTGGGTTCAAAAGATATAGAGATTAGAAAATCAGAGTTTGTGGCAAAAACTCAACTCCTTTTCTCCTAAAAAATGATCCAATCAAAGCGTTAAGTCAACTGTTAATTGTTTAATATTTTGCATGTCACTTCATCAAAAGTGCATTTGTGAGATGATCTATAAAATTCTTATTATTGCCTCCATTCTTTCAGAGTTCAAAGATAGATTTTGTAACATGATCTCAAACTATTCATTTATCGATATATTAATGCATTTTATGCTGCACTGCAATACAGGGTGAATATATAAAAATGCACATGTTTAAGATTGAAGTACAGGTGGAAGATTTCCGAAATAAAGTGTCTGGCTTCTTAAACAACTGAAAAACCTACGTTTCTATTTAAAAAAAATTAAATCTATATTAAATCTACATTTATTTAATTATTATTGTTATAAACAGTATTAATATTGTTATCAAAAACTTTCCTAATACAAAAAACTGCACTTCAAATATTGATCGCTTGGACTTAAACTGTGATCAATGCTTACGCTATGTTATGCTAGATTTTTGATGCCAAGCCTTGATAAATATAGTAAAGTTTTTGAGTTGTATATATTAGTATTCTGGGGCAGTTGCCCAAGGAAGTTACATGCACTTTCTGGGCTGAGCGCTGCTGCTAGGACAGACTTCGGGGCCAAGCGCCGCGGCTAGAACAGTCTCTCTCTCTGTCTTGTATGCGCATGTAACGTTCCTGCCTATTCTGCTATTTTTACACAGAGTAAATTTATGTAGAGATTATAGGTAAAGAGAAATTGAAATTAGCTCCATCTGAAGTTAAAGTAAAATAGTCAAACTTAAAGTTGAAATAAGTTGTTTGAAAATTGTAGGAAAGTTGGTCTCTTTGCTTTACTTGGTGCGATAGAATCACTTTCCTTTGATAGATAGATATATAAATATAGATAGATAGATAGATAGATAGATAGATAGATTGATATAAGGATAGATAGATAGATAGGTAGAAAGATAGATAGATTGTTTGATTGATGAATGATGAATAAAAAGACAAGATTGACAAATTATTTTTCTAATCTATAAATATAACGATTTAACAGACGTTTGTGGAACTATTTAAAAATCAGTTTGAGAGCTAACTGGCTAGTATACCAGTAAGGTTGTGAGCTAGTGAGCTATAGTGAGGTAGTGAGCTATTGAGGTAGTGAGGTAGTGAGGTAGTGAAGTAGTGAGGTAGTGAGGTAGTGAGGTAGTGAAGTAGTGAGGTAGTGAGCTAGTGAGCTATTGAGGTAGTGAGCTACTGAGCTAGTGAGCTAGTGAGCTAGTGAAGTGGGGAGGTAGTTAGGATAGCGAGCTAGTGTTAACTCGTGAGCTAGTGAGCTATATACTGAGGTAGTGAGGTAGTGAGCTAGTGAGCTAGTGAGTTAGTATGCTGGTGAGCTGATGAACTAGTGAGCTAGTGAGCTAGTGAGCTATATAATGAGGTAGTGAGCTAGTGAGCTAGTGAGCTATATAATGAGGTAGTGAGGTAGTGAGCTAGTGAGCTAGTGAGCTAGTGAGCTAGTGAGCTAGTGAGCTAGTGAGCTGATGAACTAGTGAGCTAGTGAGCTAGTGAGCTATATAACGAGGTAGTGAGCTAGTATGCTTGCGAGCTGATGAACTAGTGAGCTAGTGAGCTATAGTGAGGTAGTTAGGTAGTGAGGTAGTGAGGTAGTGAGGTAGTGAATTAGTGAGCTAGTGAGCTAGTATGCTAGTGAGCTGATGAACTAGTGAGCTTTATAATGAGGTAGTGAGCTAGTGAGCTAGTATGCTAGTGAGCTGATGAATTAGTGAGCTAGCTGATGAACTAGTGAGGTAGAGAGCTAGTGAGCTATATAATGAGGTAGTGAGCTAGTGAGTTAGTGAACTAGTGAGCTAGTGAGCTAGTATGCTAGTGAGCTGATGAACTAGTGAGGTAGAGAGCTAGTGATTTAGTGAACTGGTGAGCTAGTGAGCCAGTGAGTTTGTGAGCTAGTATAGTAGAGGGGAGGTGAGGTAGTGAGCTAGTGAGTTTGTGAACCCCGCCCTGTTTCCACCGCATTCACCCACTTTTGCATCGTTAATTTCACAAACCCGCATCCCAATGTACAAGCCTTAACCTCCCCCCCCCCACACATTGAACAAAAAGAAATTTTCTAATAGGAATTGTCAAGTGTCTCTTAAATTAAATATTCCCATTATCGATTCACATTTGCACCTTTCCAGCAATTAATTTATAAACGTATTAATTTAATGATCCCCCTTATTCCTCTTTATAAAAAGTAATTTATCAAACCAATTTCTAATGTTATTCAATTACTTTTTTAACTAATTTATGAAGACCACTGTATTATAAAAGCCTGATAAAATAAAGTAATGTAGCTATTATTCATAACACGTAACATGAATTTTCTACAAAATGTCTTTACAATTTGATGATTTTTTTATATGAATTTTGTAATCATGTTTTTTTAGAGAATTCTGCGTTTAAACACCTGAATTCTAGATTTTTTTTATTTTATACTTCATGACGCATTTACAAAAGAAATCATTAATTAGTTAATTTTGAAGATTTTGCTGATTGGTCATGTACAATGTACAGTGTACAGTGTACAGTATATATATATATATGTACAGTTTAGATATTTTCTGTTAAGAATATCGCAATATTCTAAATAGACTTTAGAATATGCATCTGTACTCTATTGTCTCATATTTAAATACAATTTGAAACCAAACACGACACTATACACTCTATATATGTAACCTTGTATCAACTGCATGGCAGAAACTTTTTAAAAAATCAGATTCAAAACCCGGTTTTGCGTTTTAAAGTTTTTCTATTTAAGATCTATTTTGAACGCCATAATTGCCAATGCTAACCTTTAGTAGGGTTTTTAAATCTGAATGTAATAAATCAGAACGAAACTCAGTTTTACAAAACTCTGTCTAGTTATTTATTTTCTTGGTCCTGAGGTATCACCTATTACTAATTATCGCCTGAAACTATACGATACATCGCTATAAATTATTATTGCCTCAAACTATAATTCCAGAGTCAATAATAATCTTAGCGATAGCTTCTGGGATATTGCACAGTGCTACAAAAGTCAAAGGAATTAAGTCTTTGCCACAAACTCTGATTTTTGAATCCCTGTATCTTTGCAACTCAATCTCTGAGACCTTAGATATTTCAAACTATTTATTCTGTTGGATCAAATAACCTAGGTTTACAGAGATTTACACCATTAGGTTGCAAGAATTTAGAGATTACGAAATTTAAGTTTGTGGCAAAGACTCAATTCATTTATGCGACATCACTATAGTATGAGAAAAGAAAATTTATCCGGTTACATGTAATAAATTTATTCGGTTAAATGTAATAAATGTATCCGGTTAAATGTAATAAATTTATCTGGTTAAATGTAATAAATTTATCCGGTTAAATGTAATAAATTTATCCGGCTAAATGTAATAAATTTATACAATTAAATGTTATAAATTTATCCTGTTAAATGTAATAAATTTATCCGGTTAAATGTAATAAATTTATACGATTAAATGTAATAAATTTATCCGGTTAAATGTAATAAAGTTATACGATTAAATGTAATAAATTTATCCAGTTACATGAAATAAATTTATCCGTTTACATGAAATAAATTTATCCGGTTACATGTAATAAATGTATCCGGTCAAATGTAATAAATTTAGACAGTTAAATGTAATAAGTTTATTTGGTTAAATGTAATGAATTTATCCGGTTAAATGTAATACATTTAACCGGTTACAGGTAATAAATTTATCCAGTTAAATGTAATAAATTTATCTGGTTAAATGTAATAAATTTATCCTATTAAATGTAATAAATTTATCCGGTTAAATGTAATAAATTTATTTGGTTAAATGTAATGAATTTATCCTGTTAAATGTAATACATTTATCCGGTTAAATGTAATAAATTTGTATGGTTAAATGTAATAAATTTATCCGGTTAAATGTAATAAATTTATCCGGTTACATGAAATAAATTTATCCGGTTACATGTAATAAATGTATCTGGTTACAGGTAATAAATTTATCCAGTTAAATGTAATAAATTTATCCGGTTAAATGTAATAAATTTTTCCGGTTAAATGTAATAAATTTGTTTGGTTAAATGTAATGAATTTATCCGGTTAAATGTAATACATTTATCCGGTTAAATGTAATACATTTATCCGGTTACATGTAATAAATTTATACGGTTACATGTAATAAATTTATCCGGTTAAATGTAATAAATTTATAAGGTTAAATTTAATAAATTTATTTGGTTAAATGTAATGAATTTATCTGGTTAAATTTAATGAATTTATTTGGTTAAATGTAATGAATTTATCCGGTTAAATGTAATAAATTTATCCGGTTAAGTGTAATAAATGTATCCGGTTAGATGTAATAATTTTAATAAATTCAAAACATTTTGATCTTTTTAATATCTTTTCAATAAGAAATCTTATGATTGGACTTTAGTTTGACGTAAAAATACACATCTTTTAAGCATCTACATATACAGTGAGAACCATGTGAAATTAAACTTGTTCCTTCTTTCACATAAAAATTGTTGCCAAAGATTGTATTTTAGGGTACGTCAAACTGTATTTTAGGGTACGTCAAATTGTATTTTAGGGTACGTCAAATTTAAGTTAATTTCAAAATCTTTTATATTTCAATCATAACTCCTCTTGTTACAGATGAAAATGAAAATAATAACAGTTTTTTCTC